TCAAACAAATTAAATGCACTAACCAATGGCATACCACCAAGTTTCTTGCAGTACGTAAATTTGTTGGTTCACTGTAAATCTGTTTTTAGAGGACGGTAAAATAATATGCATATAGTAGCAGTTTAGCAGCGGTCTCAATAAACTTCAATGACTACATCGCCTTTTTATGAACCCACTAAAAATTTTCTAAGACATCAAAAAAAAACGTGTAAAAAAATATGTTTGAAAAATATAATTTATCGCATATTTTCAGTGCTGAAGCAACACTGTGGGATAACTTTTTGGCTGCAAGAAGCTCTTCGACCTATACAACTCGTGATGATAAATCTTCGTCATTTTTTTAATGATGTTTTCAACCCTTAGCTGTACACTATGTCCAATAACACAGGCTACACGTACTAATACAATAAGTTGACTACATTTGGCTGATACACTTAGAACAAAACAGTATATATGCCATCATTAACTTGAAGAATACAAAACTAATGAACCAATATGAAAGTACAGTGTGGTGTTGCCGTCTCAATCCCGTTCGAACTCCGCACTTTACTAACTGAGCGAACACTAGCACAATACAAACGGACCCTATTCAGGACCACTACATTCTTTAGAGAGTGACTACCATTACATTATTGTTTCAATGTTGCTTTTAATATTTAACATCAGCTGCTTGAACGCGATCTTCGTTACACCATCGCGGAATCACCGAATACAAGCTTGCCCATTTATAACAACCTGTTTTGATTGGCTGCTGTTGAACTGACACGACGTAACTTCACGATTGACATTTAAAGCTCGTTGCCACCTAAATGCTCATTACTATGCAATTTCAACCGAGTCAAGTGATTTAACGATGATAATTATTTTAATTAATACTGTTTGTTTTATTATTTTATAATCTACGATCATAAATCTATTATTCACTTCCAAAATTTAGGGGGTTCGACCGACCCCCCCCCCGAACTACGGGCCTGAAAGACATGATGCTTCTCGCTAATAAGGACCACTTTGACACCTGGAATAACACCTGGGACCGGGATCTGGGAGTGCCACAATGTTCATTTATCCAAAGGGCGAGATCTGAAATCTAGGCCCTCTGAAACGCCATTTCCTGCATTTTGAGGGGGGAAATTTGCTGAAACGTAGAGTTCCAGCTTGAATTAGGGGGGGGGGGCACTATTTTCGGGTGGGCGACCCCCGGTGCCGCCGCCACTGGTAGACCACAGGGAGCCCAGGAGCTATGTCAACTGTACGCACTCTCTATGGGGGGGGGGTATCGGCTGGTATCTAGTGTAAGAAATAGACCAAAGCCTAACCTATATTTTACCTATATCTGAGGAAATTTGAAAGGGCAACTAATATTCTTCAACCTGGTATTTTTTATAGATTTTATTGTGGTTGGGTATCACAATAGAAGACAGGATACGAAACTTAACGAGCCTGGTAGTGTATACACACTACGCAGTTA